GATGAGCGCTGGCGTGGATCTAGTGTCCCACACGCCGAGGCGGGGAACGGTGCGCAGCCGGAGCCACGTGTCGAATGCCTCGCATACCTGGTCGCGCAGCGCCTCGTCGGTGCCTCTCTTCCCCATGGGGAATGGGTTGCCGAGCCCGGTGCCTCTCATGATGTTGACTGGCAAGGGGCGCGGGACTGTGTCCGCTCCCGTGTCGCGCGTCTCCGCTCGTCGGCTTCCGGCGACGACCACCCTGATCGAAGGCTCGGCATCCCCCTGTCCGCCGCTGTGTGCCCCCCCGCTCGTGTCGCGCCTCGGGCCGGCGGTCCTCGGGGGGGGGCTTGGCTGCTCCGCCTGGCGTGTGTCGCTGCTGCTTCTAGCCCTCGACCCCCCCATGCGACGGTCCCACTCTTCTCCTGCCCCCTCGTCGTCGGTAGGCTCCTCCTCTGGCACCGGCTGTGAGCGGTCGTCGCCGTCGTCGTCGTCTACGTCGTCGTCATCGTCTCCGTCCTGTTCCCCAGCGGCGCCGCCCCTCCACTCGGGCGCGTTCGTCTTGCGCCATTCGATGGCCGTCCACGTAATCGTCTTTGCGGCCTTCCTGGCTGCGTTGGTCGCCTCTCGCACCGCCACCTGCATCGCGGTGAGGCGCTCGCCGTCGCGCCCCCCTCGCGTGGGGGGTGGTACATAGCCCGTTGCCGCCATTCTCGCCCTCGTGGCCGCTCGTTCGCGTTGTGTCGGGGCGGGGAGGGCTCCCGACGCCGCCGCCCTGAACCGCCGCCACTGTTCGACGCTGGGTAGGTTATTGCCCGCTGTGGTGAGCGCCGCGGCGACGTCGAGCGCCTGTTTGACTGCTCCCTTGTAGGCGCTGCTGCCGCCGCCCTCGGGTCGCTCGATGATGTCGTACAGCATCTCTAGGCTGTGGACGAGCTCTCCAGCCAGCTGGCGTCCCTTGGGTGCCCTCCAGACCTCTGCGAGCGCCTCCATGGCCGCCCTGCCGGCGTCGTCCTTGTAGTCGAGTTCGCCGAGCCCGAGCTGTCCGCTCCTGACTCGCATGATTGCGCCTAGGCTGGTGGCTTGCAGCTTAGAGCCGCCGCCGTCGCTGGCCCTTCCGGTAGACTCGAGCAGCTCTGTCCACGCGCCCCCGTGTTCCCACGGCCACGCGTGCGGTAGCTCCTCCGGCATGTGGACGATGAGGTTGCCGACGTCGTGCCCCGCGCTCGTGATGGCTTCGCGGATGGTGAACCGTTCGAGCCCTTGTTGCACGAGCCCGCGTAGCTTGCGCTGTCCGCCTGCCCAGCTGACCGTTCCGTCTCTCCTCTGTGGCCCGTATGCGATCAGGGACGCCTAGGGCGGCGGCGGCGAGGGCGGCGGCGGCGGGGGTGGTGGTGGTGGCGGCGGCGAGGGCGGCGGCGGTGAGGGCGGCGGCGGCGAGGGTGGTGATGGCGGCGGCAGCGAGGGCGGCGGCGGCGAGGGCGGCGGCGGTGAGGGCGGCGGCGGCGAGGGCGGCGGCGGCGAGGGCGGCGGCGGCGAGGGTGGCGGCGGCGAGGGTGGTGATGGCGTTGGCAGCGAGGGCGGCGGCGGCGAGGGCGGCGGCGAGGGCGGTGGCGAGGGTGGTGGCGAGGGTGGTGGCGAGGGTGGTGGCGAGGGTGGTGTCGGCGAGGGCGGTGGCGAGGGCGGTGTCGGCGGCGAGGGCGGCGGCGAGGGCGACGGCGGCGAGGGCGATGGCGGCGAGGGCGGCGGTGGCGAGGGCGGTGATGGTGGCGGCGGCGAGGACGGCGGCGGCGAGGGCGTTAGCGGCGAGGGCGGCGGCGGCGGGGGCGGTGGCGGCGTGGGCGGTGGCGGCGAGGGCGGCGGCGGCGAGAT